GGGGGGGGGGGGAGTGTTGCTCCAAATTCCATTAATACTGAAGCTTAACCTAGATTTCTCAATCTTCAGCAAGACTGTCTCCTTATATTTGTATTACTGGTAACCGTTTGGCCTGTTGCCAGAATCGGGACTGAAAGTTGCTCTTCCAGGCCATTGTAATTTGGCAAAATAAACATTCTTCCACCCTACTGAAATACAACTTATCCTTTAGAACTAGAGATCTTCCCTAATTTTTATTATTACCCACCACATACAGACAGCTATCCATGTGCAAGACAACTAACAAACATGGAAGTTTAAGCTGCTGCCCTAAGGAGCTTACACTATTTATGATTTAGCTGAAGTCACTGCAGAGCCTTCCAAAAGCAAAGAATGCTTAAATATTCTTTGTGGTAGTCCCTTCCTACAACCAAAAGTGCTGATAGAAATTAAGCACAAAGAAACTTTATTTTTAAGTTTTAAATATTTGTGTGAAATTAGGAGAATCTATGGTACATCTAAGAGTCAAAATTCACATATAAAAGCAGAGTCTTCAGAGTCCACTTGAAATAAAAATGAAACGGAGTATTGTGCTTTAAGTAATTGTTTAAACATTTTAAATTTATATATCTGGATCAGAATTCTTATTTTGATTTAAAAACATGCAATTTAAATTTTGGAATGTGTATAAGAGAGCTGAATTTCACTGAAACAGTGAACTATTTGTTTTGAAGATACTGAAGACCTTAGAAATCCAACTTCTGGTACACAGTGCTACAAATCACATGTAATGAATAGAACTAAACAACTTCTAGATTACTCTCATGTAACTCAGATTAGAATCTGACCAAGAAAAATTCACTCACAAGTTATTTTTTCACCACAAATTTGTAACTATGGTGTAATGAAACAACAACGTGCCCTACCTGGGCATCCACTGTCAATATAAGGCTTAATGAGTTCTCCAAGTTTTGTCTTGTCTGCAACAGCTTCCTTTAGCAGTTGCCCACAGCAAACTAACAGGAAGGAAGAACAAAAAAGACACAAGGTTAAATTTTAAAAAGGAGGCAACAAAGAAAAGAAAAAAAAAAAAAACAGAAGCTGCATACTGGAATAAGGTCACTGAATAAAATAAAAGTTGTAGTTTTTTTGGGGTTTGTTGTTAGGATATTTTTTTTTGTGGCCAAGCAAAGCAAAAAGCAAAGAGACTGAGCAGGGGAGAATACTGAATAAAAAAGAATACATCTGGCAAAAAAAACCATATTAAAAACAGAGAGAGAAAGATATTAATCAAATATGGTTCTGAAATAATAACTCAAGGGATTGCTAGTGGTTTTCACTTTTTATAAAGTTATAATTACTGAATAAAGTTACACCTGCTGATCAGCATCTGAACCACACTGTTGGAGGTGCAGGATAATACGCAGTTCGAGGAAGCGGCTCCCTGGATCATTTAATGATCATGTAAGAATTATATTTGAAAAACTGTGCTAATGCAATATTATCATTGACTTCAAATACACAAAACACCAGGAGATGCGGATTTAAAGTTTTAGACACGAGAGCTGTACATAAAATACTCCTCCTTTGGGCTTGGATAGCACTTTCTGACCAAAGTTACTGAGTCTTACTGCCCCACACGACTTAGGTACAACAGTTCTGACCTTTATGTTACAGAGAGGGAACTAAGGCATGGAGAGGTTACACAACACCACAGCAGGTCCTAGTTGCAACTCACGTTTTGGGAAATACTAGATAACAGTCACTCTGTACATTTTTGCATGACCTTTCAATTAATAATCATAAATCGACTCCCCCTTTTTTGAAATCAAGCACCAACACCTGCAGCTTCACTGAGTTTCATGGGAAAAAAAAGCAAGCCCTTTCCTCAGCTTTATTACTGTTAATCACACTGCTTGGCAAACAAGAGTAAGAATGTTCCACTGGAACACTTCTTGGATAAAGCTGATGAAGTTTAATGTTTAAGTGACAAGGGACAAACAAAAATTTTAACAGTCACTAGTTGTCCTGGAGAAGCAAAATCATATCCACAATAAATGGGGTAAAACCACAACAGAATCTCAGTGCACAGACCTCACTTTAAGACAACTAATATGTATACACTTAAATTCAATCCAATTCATAAAGCTATTTAAACACAGGATTAAATTTTTAAGCCTGTGCTTCAATCCCAATGGCCTAATTAGAAATTAGGGATATGATAAATACTATTAAAATTATGGTCTCTGTCTCTGTTTTAAATTCTTAAAAAACTAAATACTTAATTGGTTTACAATATACTTAAAAATCAACATATGGCTAAAACAGTGGTAATGGTATTTAGTAAAAAGAGCTGCAACTCTCTCACATAGTAGTTACTTCTAAAAAAATGAGAATTTTGACCTAGATGACAACACTATCAAATTTGCAGTTTTAGAAGTAAAGCTTAAAAAAAATCAGAAACATGAGAACAAGTTAATTTTTCTTTAATACATTCAAATGTTTCATTTTTCATTAAGCCAATTACACAATTATTAAAAATACAGCTTTGAATAAATCTATAAATATTTCTTGTAAATATGAAATCATAAACCAGCAATATTACAATAACTGATAGCATAAACATTCTATCAATTTTTTAATGCTTATCAGTATTGTAATATAGATTTTTCAAATAATTTAAGTTTACCTTTTTCAAGCTCACCAGATATCATTTTAGTCATATTCATGTGGTTTTTTTAAACACTAAACCAAAGATTTAAAATACAAAACCACTAAACCTAAAATCCCAAACCAATAGGTAGCAGCACAGGTTCTGTGCCTTTAATGGAACTGCACAAACCTACGATGTAGCCATTGGTTGGAATGATTATATGGAAAGCATATGGCTTTTTCTGAAGGTGGAAGTTTGAAAATGAAAAAATGTATTTCTTTTCTGAGCAGATCTACTAAATTATACTGCTCAGATCATGAAGTTATTCACATGTAAAGCCAAATCCAGGTTCACTGAATTTTGACTTCACCAGGAGTTCAGGGAAGACACAAGCAAACTGGCACATCACTACGGACAACTGGGTTCCACTTATTAAAGAATCTCCCAAAGATAAAGCTCACTGTCTACCTAATTGCCATTTTTTTTTTCATTTGGTATACATTGAAAGAATGTTAATGAAACAAACTTGGATTTTACTTAACAAAGAGGATATGACTAATCAGCAAGTTTTACAGATAACCAGACATTTGTTTAAAACAATTTATGGCTATTCCACTATTAGAAGACATTATAGGACATGGACACGTGTTTCATTGATCCAATCACCAAGCTGCATCTTCATATTATAGAACTTTCCAACATTAGCATGCTAACCATCAACAAGCCTCATATAAAATTTTCTGGGCCTCCTTTACAAAAGAAAGAGAATGTACTTTTAAATAATTACTTCCTTTTCTAATACATTACTTCAGATGCACAGAACCTGAGTCTTCATTAAAGTTCAGAGTAAATGCTGTTTTAAAAGTGCCCCAATTTTGGTCAGAGAGCTGAAACTGCAAAGACATTACTCATGATTCACTGATCCACAGAAGAATTCCAAGCACTACCGGAATCTAACACTTGGAAAAATACTGATGTAATGGGTATAAAAAACGATGACTAAAAAAAAAATGTTAGAGCTGGTTTGTCACAGAATATATGCTCTATTGGTTTATATTTCTTCACTGAAATACTTCTCACTTCCCTCAAAAATTTGACATCCATAGCAATGGACAAACAGAGAAATTTTATGAGCAAGTAAGAAAGACAGACAGCAAAAGATAAATGATCAAGAAGAGAGAAAGAGGGAATTGAGCAAAGTGCATATTTACTGAGAACTTACTGTTGACAACATCGTATTTCTGAGCTATTAGTGCTGCCTGCAGGCTCTTCCCACTGCCTGGGGGTCCACAAAAGAGAATCCGTGGTGTAAAGGGGGCAGCTGATCGGGGCCGTGTTTGGACATAGGTAAGAACTAGAACATGAGAGAAAGGCAAGAAATACAGTTTATAGCTGCTTTTTTTTTTTTTTTTTTTTTAAATATTGATTAACTTCTCCCTTTTTAAAAAAAATGTTGTCATGTTGATTATAATTTATTTTAGCACTGAAATTTCTACATACTCCAACCAAAATCAGGATTCTGACAGAACTGTCAGGTCAGCAACTTACATCGAGAGGCACTTTAGAAATCTTACTATCATTACACTTCTGTACTTTGTTTCATCAGTAGATGTCAAACCATTTTAAAGAGCAGATTCAATTAATAATTGCTCTTTTACCATGTTGTTTTTAGCAGAAGTAATTTTTGCTTGATAGGTACAGTTTTACCGTGCAAATTATAGAGGGATATAATTACATTAATATTTTCTGCAGTTTCTGAACAAATATTTAAGAGTAAAAACTCAGGATGTTAAATTAATATGACATTTACCCAGCTGTGTGTGTGATTAACAGACTCCTAATTACAATATTACAGACTTGTAGCATAGGATGTCATGACACAATACAGCATTGACAACATATAACTGAGCATGATTTTATTTTGTCCATCTTTTTGCATAATGTGTAAAGGACATTTGTGCTTCTCTGTCTGATTCTGCTCTGTTTCGTGGGCATCATTCTTTTACATTTTGTATTGTGCAGGAAATACAACATTCGGGTCAATCTACAGATGCTAAGAGCTTTGGAAAGACCACAGGACATGTGAAGCATCATCAGCCTTGCTGTATTAGAGAGATCTGAACTGTTTTCCAATCTCAAAAGAGAACTGTATAGATCACCAAGAAGCTAAAAGAAGATATGGCTTGCCAGCGAGGGCAAATTAGGATTGTATTTGGACACAGCAAAACACTCCCTGTGTCCCCTTCATGGCTAGCAATACTAGTGAAGAGAGCAGCTCAGGCTTCAGCACAAGCTGGGCAAGTTTTCCAGGGATCACAGATTCAAATGCCAAGGCTGAACTTCATGCCACCGTCCCCTGACTGCCATGGTTAGGCACGACTAAAGCAGAGTAGGCACACCTACACAGGCTTCCATTTCCTCTGTAATTGCAATGGATACAGTTAAGTGTTAGCCTGGACATCTTCAGTTCCAATCAAAGACTCTCTAAACTAAAGAATCCTTGTTAATCTAACGAATAGGACTGGCTTAGACATTAATGTTTATATGAATCCTAAAGCCATTAATGTTTATATTAATCCTAAAGCCATATTAAAAAGAAACAAACACTAAAGGAATGATGGAAAACATCATAAGGATCGGTATTTTAACTACAATTGTTAACATATTGCTGTATACTAAATAACATGCCAACTAAATAATTTTTCTGAGGACCCTCTGCTAGGCACTTTGGTATCATAAATTTTTTTCATAATAGAGAACCATCTCCAGCAAACTCCAGCTCTGCTATTTCTGGATAGTGGACTTAAAGTATTGAGAAACTAACTCAAACTGCAACTCAAACTCACATACATCTCTTTCTCCAGTGCCATAAGCTGCACTGGGATACTGCACTGTACAACTGAATTTGGTGTCACATAACCTAACATATGTTTGCAGTAATTGCATTAAAGTTTAAGAGTTTACAAAATTTTGTAACTGCATGAAACAACCCATAATAATACTAACATTGATGAGCAATTTCCTCTTTCTTTTTTTAACTCTATCTGTAGCAATAAAAATACTTAATAAAAACCCTGGGAAATCATAACAGAAAATAGTGTTTGCTGCATAACTTCCTAAAACCCAAATATCAGCTACCCAAGGAGTGCTCTAGCTATTCTGAACATTTTCCATAACCCAGTGTATTGAAAAGCACAAACATTACAGGCAAAGCACCCTGCTTACAAATGATGCTTAATTTGCAGTAAATAACCAAGTTAATTAGGAGTAATGATCCCCTAGACAGTCTCCACATCTAATTATTCTTTTAAAAAAAAAAATCTGGCTGCTTGATGCACTGCAGAAAAAAGATCTAGAGAGGATTTTTTTCATTCCAGTTTTCAATTTATCTCACTACATTATTAATTAATAATAATTAATATTCAGGCACTCACATTTTTATTTACAATTCAAGGCATGAATTCTTTATGAATGATGATATGAACTTTTAAATTTAATTAAGTAATTTAGAGGTAATTAATGTGTAAATTCAGAATATAAACTTCCTACTTGTTTATCTTAAAAGTGCAGCACTTGTTATTAAAAAAAGACCTTTTTGAGATGCAGAATTACTGGGATATAACAGATCATCTACAGACTGACAGCTACAAAGTACATTATCAATTGGTCTTTCTGGCAGTTTCCTTATTCTCTTCTTGAAGAATCAACATTAAAAGTCAGATTGCATTAGAGTCAAGCAAAGGCAAACAAGAATTGTTGAACAGGAAAGCTACCAGCACAAACAGGTTTTAAATAATGAAATGTTACTGGCTTTGAGCTACTCCTACTTCTTGTTATCAGACTTGTGGAAGGTACTAGTCCTTTGGGAGATTAACAATTGAGCCACAATGCAGCCGTTTAGAAGAGATTCTCACCAGAAGTAACTGCGACATTTGCTCTACTGAGCCAGCTGCTCCCTGGCAGGACTGTGGAACTAAGACTTTCCAGTTAGTCCTGTAAAGTGATTACCAGGAACAACCCAAACACTGTACTAGAGAGAACACAACTCAGCTGGGAGCCATCTGTGTTGACTAATCCTAATCCTACAGACTGTCTCTAACAGCTAGGAGCTATCTTCCAAATAGGAGTTTGTCAACTGTCAGGTTTGCCATAAAGGTACATATTTACCCTGGGAGAGCACATCCATGGAAGGCTGGTCTGCATTGATTGATTTCAAAACTTTTTGGTAGATCCGGAAGACTGCAAGGAAGTTTCTGTGATATTCCATCAGTTTCTTTGCTGTCTCCCGTTCAGACAGATCTTCTGGTTTCACCAAACGTTGCTGTACAAGCAGATCACTCGGCCAGTCAAAGGTCGTATGGTACACCTCTAGAAGTTAAGACACTGATTAGGAACTATCAGGATGATTTAATAGGTCTTGCTCAGCTCCAAAATGTTTCTTAAACAAAATCAAGGTCTTTGTTTAAGCTTTATGCTGTGGCACAAGCAATAACCTGTGCATTTCCCTCCCTGCTTGTACTGACAGCTGACCATTACTCTGCAGATGCACAGATAGGAAGAGGCCAAGGTAACTGCCCACCCATGTAGCCAAGACAGAACGATGAGTAAGAAGCAGGAACTGGGGACAGCTCTCTAAATTCTTCAGCTGAACCTTAAGCAAAATCTCCTTTACAGCAAATAAAAGCCATTTCTTTAGTTAAGAACGTGCCTCCTAACTCCACTCCTAAAACATCCAATGTGAGTTTTTTATTGAGCAGTCAGGATTTTATTTTGTGGAATGAATGGAAGATACCTAAAAGCATACCTGCACCTCAAAAAAACTTCCAGGATCCAGCAAAGATACACAGAAAAATGTAAGCTCATATGGAAAAATTTAACCTTCAAATATTCTGTACTGTGATAGTCTACTGTTTGCAGGCTCAGTACTGAGCTTTACATTTTCTCCTATTTTATTGGCACAGAAAACATCACAATGACAACAATTAATTTTTCCAAATACTTTAAATTTATAATTTTTAATTCCTACTAGTTCTTAAAGGGATACCATTTAAATTTACAAAGTTTCTGAGACCAAGCAAGACTCCAGTTTCTAGTGGAGATCAGGAATAAACACATACTGCACCTTCTGTGAAGGGATCAAGCCTTTTCCCACTGTTCCTCTCAATCAGCACAGTGTCTGGAGCATAAAGCACAACTAGGTACAAAAAAAAAGAAAAAAGTAAAAAAAAAAGAGTAAAAAGTGTAGCTGTTGTTAGTTACTTCCTTTATTTTCTGTAACTGTTTAGAGGTATCCTGGTATTAAAGATGGATTAATGTGTTTTAAGCACATTTGCCTCATTCTCCTTTTCCAGTATTCTGCCTGCAAATACTTTACTTCACTTTTAATCAGAATTTTGCTCCACCTCCTAAGCACTATAGTAGGATAAAATATACATTAATCTTAGTCCAGTACCCATGAGCTGTCCCTGCCAGCCATACCAGTTAACAAGGTTCTCCCTCACTTATCTGGAGCCTAGGACAGAAGCACCCACAGATCACTCAAGACTAATTCTCTTTTATACCACAAACAATTACTTTTCACCCAGATACTTTGGTAGCAAGGCCAGGGAAACTTAATTTTTGATAACCTCACAGAAAAGCATTCAATCTTGATTAGAAAGCATCAAAAGGTGAAGAATCTGTCACTTCCCTAGGTTGCTTTTGGCTAATCATCCTCACAGTTAAACTGTAATTCAATTACTATTTTCAGTGCATTTGATTACAGGTTTCAAACAACTTCTTCTTATGACTTCCTTCTCTGTATCAAATAGCTCTTTCAGATGCTTTTTTCCCTATTAAGGTACTCACACACCGTAAATCTCATCTCCTCTTAGTCTTCTTTTTGATTAACTAGACAGACTGAGCTTTAAGATTCTCATTCTGGTCTTGGCAGCACAGATATAATTGTGAGCAAAACTCAACTTCAGATGTTATTAGCTATATTAAAAATACATGCAAGTACTAGACATTAAACAGTTTTGCCTAACTCTATTGCAGTGATTCTGAATTCTTCATTAACAGTCGAATCTCATCCAAATCAAATCCAAAGTGACAATTCATCAAGTTCTCTAACATTCTGCTCACTACTCGCTGGCAAGCTCTACATTTATCATTTTACAGTGTATTCCACACAATCATAATCATTTCTTACATTCTAAGCAGGTCTTCTAGCTACATTAATTTGAGACAAATGGCTTCTAGATGGCAAGGGCACTTTTCAAGGTCCTTTCTATCAGCACTTTGACAGTAAACAAATATTTCTCTCAAATGAAGTCAGAATCCACCCATACTCTGAAAGGTCAAGCTTAAAATCATGATGTTTCCACTTCACTTGGTGGAGTAAAGTTTGCATTCTCTAATTCAACAGAAGGTTGAATTTGTATTTAGTACATGAGGAGTTGTTTTGGTCTGAGGATAAAGGCTGATTCCTAAAAATGGAAGTCTGAGAAAACTTAGACCCACCCCTAGAACAGAAGCAAAGCTACATATAGCGGCTCAGAGACACTTGCTGGAGTGGTCTTGAATTTACAGGACTCTAATGTGTAAGAAGAAAAAGGTTCATGTGTGAAAGGCAGGGTTCAGAGTCTCCCAGGTTACCCTGAGTTTTTGAGTGAATCTGAACCATCATGAAACATTCTGCTGTTGGGTGACCCTGGCGTCTTCAGTACTGGCACTGAATTTATTGCAGATTTGGGGGGAGAAACACTTCTACTCTCTCCCACTGGATGCAATCACATATAAAACTTGTTCTGCTTACCAACATGCCTAGGAATGATGCCAAATGATTGCAGCATCCATGCCTGCTCCTGATTTTCAGGGAGGCCTTCCAAAATCCATCCCTATTGAACAAAACCATGAAAGACTTATTGATCCAGGAAGAGAAAAAAACAAAAATTAGCGCTAAATATCAGTGCTATTTACACAAAAAATACCTTGTTCTGATCCCACAACAGCACAGCATTTGTTATGGATGCTTGTGGGAGAAGAAAGCAAACATGGAGCACTGATATTTTTGTGAAATGCCATGCATTAACACCACTGCCACAGAGCAAAGGGAACGTATGTATTGTAGTAATGAATTTTTTTCATGTTTCAATCTTAGAAAAAAGAATAAACTTCTATCTTCAATAAAAACAACCCAAAACAATTTCTACAGTTTTGAAATATTCAAAAGGATACCAGCCCACACTGTGTATAAAAAAAGAGGCTAAACAAATCTAAAGACAGATTTAATGCCAGGAACACTGAGGAAAATATGCATGCTTTCATTATTTTCTTAAATTATACAGGAAAACTCACAGTAATGGAACCAGTGTTCCCAAAGCTAATGAAGCAACAGAGCAAAAGAAAGAAAAAAGAAAAAAGAGCCTTTTGCTCCCTTAAGTCCTTGTTATAGCCAGCTAAGTGTTGGATTGAGCATCTTTAAAAAAACATTTACAGATCTGTGAAATACCATAGGAGAGCTGCAGCCTCACTCAATTTCTGTGTGATGCAGTATTTGAAATCTAATCCACTTCCCAGTCTCAAGTCTGAATCTTCTGAACTTGCTCTAATTTATCTGTTAGTTGCTTAACCACACGTCTTTGTCACTATACCCTATACCTCAAAATATCTTTGTGATACTGCAATAAACCTGGAAACCATCTTTGTACTGAAATAAAGAAGATATTTTCATATTGCATTAGCTAGTAATCATTATTATCTGCCCCATAAATTTGGAGTTCTGTCACTATGGGGTCCAAAGGTTTTAGAAGTATATCAGGGAAGCATATCTCCATGACTTCTGTAGGTGGAAACTGGGACAATCCAATTATACAAGAAAATAGACTATTTCAAATTCCTTAATTAGCCTGATTTCAGGAACATGTCATCCTGCTGATATCTGTAGAAAAAAAGAGACTCAAGTAACTGCAAGCCATTTTTGCCACTCCCAGTGTTCGCTGTATCAAATTAGAATGAGCCACTGTCTAAGGTCACGCAGGTGCTGAGAAATCAATTTACCCCTTGGGACTTGCAGGAGGTAAGGCTGCACAATATTTCAGTGGTATGCTAGGAACTTCAGTACTAGTTCTGAATATATTGTCCCTGGACAACATATACATAGGCCCAGATCCGCTTCTAGGGAGAAATGGCATCAGAGGTCTGAAGCCAAGAAATCTACGCCACTTTACACAGACTACAAATCTGACTCATATTCTCCAAGTGCAACACTTTGGGAAACTAAAGCAAAACAAATGGAAAAAAAAAAAACCCCACCCCACAAAACCATTGCTTTGGATGTCACCACAGCTTATTGCTCAAAAATCACATATTGAGCAACCAGCAGTAAACACAATATGGTATTTTAACAGCGTATAGCAAACTTTAAGGGGTTTATATACAAATTTCAAAGGTCCTTAAAAGAGGCAATAGGCAATTTTGTAGCTAAAAGTTTTTGCAATGTAAGAAAACATAGCTCAATAAATAGCTTCCTGCAACAAACACGTTTTAAGGCATTAAACAAATGCAAAATAAACACACACTACAAAAATAGTTAGCATTTTGGATCTTACTTCCAAAGGTCTCTGAGTTCCAGGGTATCAGTCAGTCCCTAATTAGAATACATTATCCATCTACTTGACACTTCAGTGAAATGTCTATTCCACCACAGAGCTGCAGCTTTGTTCAGAACAGGTTTATTGATATTCTGCTGCATTCCCTCTCCATACCCCCAGTGGCTTGGTTCTGTTTTATCACACATCAAAAAGGCCGTATGCTCAGGGCACCCCATGCACAGCTCAGAGCTGGAGGTCTGAACAGCTGCAAGTAGTATGGTATCACAGGAGGGACAAGCTCCAAGCAGATGTCACAGATAAAAAAAAAAAAAAAAAAAAAAAAAAAAAAAAAAAAGGGAGTGTGGCTTGGGAACGAAGCAAGAGGAAGCAAGACACAGCAGAGCAAGACCTGACTTAAAATATGCCTATCATGCTTTATGCAAACACTGGTCTTTTTTGCCCTCCTGACTATCATTAAAGTGTAATTAGTAACTTCACATGGTAAATTTGTTTCTTTAAGAAGCCATCTATTTTTTGTTCTTGATAGCGGTAACCTTACATCCGTGCATGGATTGCACCTTATCAAGTTTGGAACAAAGGCTAAAAGTGAGTAATTCCACGGTGCCTTTACTCTGTGGTCACTGTTCCCTCTCTTTCAGCTGGGAACCTCAATCCTTTCCCACATGAAGACTGCTGTAAATACAGCATTCTGCTGTTGCCTTAATGCCAGGTGAAGTGCTCCTTGGAGACCTGTGCCATGCTGAAAAGCAGCAACAAGGAAGTACTTTCAAAGCCATCACTTTCCAGATTTAAGGAATCTGGAGAAAAGGAAATGCTCAAGGTCATTCATTCCCAAATGTAAATCTCATTCCTTTGCTGGCACTACTCTCAGATATAATACCAAGTCTACATATTTTCACACTTTCCATCCCAATAATAATGACTTGGGTATTCCAGTTCTCTCTTGTCACTTAACCCATACATCCTCAATTTATTTTTTTTTTAATTACAAAATCCAAAATTGGCACTGCCTTATAATAACGAAAAGGAATAGCATAAAGAAATTATGCTGAATTACACTGCACATCTGAACAATCTCAGTCACAAACATAAAGATCAAAGGTCATGAATGCTGCTGCCTTTGGGAAAACAAGTCATCACCACAGTTTTTCCACATATTCATTCAGTATTTTTGAGAAAGTATTTCATGCCTTTCTCTCCCATCTGAAGGGAACAGACAATAATGCAAAAAAAAAAATAATATGAGTAATAGCTTTGCGAGTATGGATCTAAAATTTCTGAGATTTTCAGAAAACAGCTGAATGAGGAGTGCTGTAGAAATATTGCCAACTCAACTCCTGCAGTCCATCAACATTAGCAGTATGGATGACAGAAGAAGCTCAGACTTTACCAAATGTCCCATTAGAAAGAAACTCCCCACATTATTTTGTAGGTTAGGCTGCAAAGCTATTAAGAAAAAAAAGAAAAGCCACATTCTTCTTGGAAGACAAAAAAGATGAATAGGCAGATTCTCTCCCCAGATAAATCTATGTAACATCACTCTCCTTGCATGGGGTTTGACAGAGACAACACAATGATCGTTATTTGCGAGGGTACACCCAAAAAGAACCAGTAGCCATTGCTCTCTTTGCCTTCCCTTTCAAGGTTAGCCACTACCCTTCTGAACTGTTTAATACCAATCAAAAGTAATTCTGCCACTCATTGTGTGAATCACTGGACTAAGCTTAGTTTCTAAATGGTCCTAAGACATCAGTAAGGCTGCTCAGCTCGCCCTCTCACAACTCCATGGCATAGCAATCTCTTCACTAGCCTCCTCCAGTTCTATAAATTCCCCCCACACCAGCAGCCAGAGGTGCCGTAGCCAACATGTACTAACCCTGTAAGATGAAAAGTCTTCATATCAGCTTCACAAGTCCCAGGTTCTAACATAATGCTTGCAATAAGTTTTCTGCGTATGCTGGAAGACCTACCCGTCTGATCCCTTGCAGTCCTAACTACATTTGTATTAAAGAACACATAACAGAGTCTCAGCAGAGCTGTTGATCAATAAAAATGTTCTCCTTAGAGAATGCCTGTGACATCTATAAACCTGAGAGTGTCAAAACAATGGCACAAAAAATTCTGTATTCCTACTGTCACTGGGATGAAAGCTGTACAATTAATGCCAAGCCAATGACACCACAAGGAGAAATAAAACAAACAGCTGGTGGTACTCTGGTCCAACATACTGCTCCTAATCTATTAACATTTTCAGTAAAAAAAAAAAAAAAAAAGCTGACTCATGTTTTGAAAGAAATGGCATAAATCTGTTCAATGATGTAAAAAATCCACAGTATTAATTCTATGCCCAATCACACAGGGAAAATATTGCAATTAAAATGCATAGATCTGCTTTCAAATTGAAAAGATGTATACACTGTGAGGAAGTTTTACTGACCACAAATTAGTATCTATTAATTAAAAGATTTTTGATAACCATCAGAACTTTGAAAAGTCAGTTATGTGTTTTTCCTAAAAATAGCTGAAAACTTAACTAGACCAGTAACACCCACTCCATCCTTGCTGAATGTCAGGGAAGGTTTATAAAGGGTTTGTTTTCCCCCCCAGCTCTCTATCATATCCAGCACCGACTCAATGTTGCTGGTGATAACAACAGGAACATACAATGCAGGCAGGACACTGCAGCTGTTGACATTTTAACCACCTTGTCACCTTACTCAGAGTTTACATGACCTAATACTTAAAATAACAGTCATTGAGAGATCCTTCCCTCACCATTAAAAGGAGAGCTGGAATCATGCCAACACTTACAGAAAGCATGGGGCAAAAAAAAGCATCGTGTGGATGAAGCCTTTGGAGAGCAATGGATTTTGCTTATATGCTGATGGTTAGTAAAACTCACTGTAACAGTATCACAATAAACACTGGAAAAATTAGCTGTTGAAAACACGCCTTCTTTTAATCAGGCAAAGAGACTTATGTGGAAAAACAAGACTGTTGGATAGGTTTTAGAGCTAGTCTTATAAAAAGCCCTAAACTGAAGAGTTACTCACCTACATGCTAGTTTACAGCAACTGCTGCCATCCAACAGCTCTCCTCCAGAGATTATCAGAGGACAGATTGCCCCAAGATTACTACCTTTGAGATATCATGTGAGAAAATATTTAACCAAAGCTACTGAAAATACCAGGGGTACCCTGGCACCTCCCCTATCCTACCTGCTAACTCCAAGTAGCACAACCAGAGAAGCTGTTAGTATTGAGCTGAGGGAGCCTGTGTTTGGGGTCTGAAACCAGCCTAAAGCCTGGCAGTTAGCAGTCTGAAGAGCGGGTTCTCTCTTGGGTTTAGCATCTTTCTAACTTATTTTCATTTCTACAGGTTTAAAGATATTTTAAACATACTCACTAGAGGAGAAGTTTGACTTGAGATAGATGTTCCACATCTTGCCACTAAGACAAGGTAGTAAATCATAGAATCAGCTGACTTGCTGTATATCCATGATATCTCATTGCACTGCTTACATAAAAAATCTTGACATACATAGTCTTTTTTTGCTGCTCGTTTGCTAGTATATCCAGAGCTGACAATATTGATTTCTCAGGTGTTCTTCAGCTACACTCTTTAATTCAAAATGCCACAAAAATGAGCAAGATGGCACACCACATCCCTGTTTTTAAACAGGTTCTCCTGCCAATTGAAAGGCCTAAGTCCTGTGTGAATTTAGTACAGATAAACAAATACATTAAATACTACCAGATATTTGATCTGGAGTGCTAAATAACTATTGTGACTCAAAATAAAATAAAATAGCTCACCTAAAAAGACCTGCAAGAGAAACCACATGGAACCATAAAATTCAAGCACAGTGAGTAACAATGCAAAAGTTTAATTCTACTTTGTAAATTCAAACTTAATAGACGGAGTAAGGTATACGGTATTTTGTAGAGAAAAATGTATAACCTTTAGGTTTTCTACAAATCTTTTTATTCCTTTCATTCTAAGGATCCAAAAATCATTGTTTCAGTCTCCCAGATGATGAAGCATGGAGCAAGAAACACAGGATCCTAAACCACACAAAAAATGGTCCATTTGGAAAAGGACGGGGTTGTGTTCTTAAACATAATGAACTGGAAAATTCTTCCAATTCTTCCACATTCACCCCAGTCCTCGATCATGTGTAGGAAGGGAACTCAAAGAGAAACAACAGCTAGGTTTAGGAAGAAAATAAGAATTGGAACTCACAGCACTGTGAATTTTGCCTAAAACATGTGTCTCATCTGCATGGTGAAGTAGATTTTATTAGTTCACAGTAAGCGGAAAGAAGGCAGGAGGGGGCATCGGGAAAATCCACACTTTGCAGTTTAGAGTTGCCAGTGTATTTTAAAATCCAAGCATCTTGGCAATTCCCCATGTAAGCAAATACTGGTGTACTTTAAAAGTGCAGGGTTCAATTCATCACTATGTTACTCCAAAGTTGCAGGAATTCAACCCCATGAATGTCAATGGGGTTTATATCCGGGATAAATCTAGAATAATTTAGAGATGAGCTAGGTTTCTGAATTTCCCTTCATAAAAACAATTGCTCACATTTCTTTGGAGGAGGAGGAGTCCTATACTGTCATTTGTAAATATGTATGGGAGCCAAAGCTAAAGTTTTGTTACAGTCTCTTGCTAACCCTGGATTTACCTAAAAATGCAACAAAATGTTCAAACATCAGCCACAATCTTATTTTTACTCCTTCAGAGCTTTCTCTACTGACAGAAAAAGGAGGAGTTTATAGCAAGACACTCCTCAATGCAAATAAGGGCACTGTCACTCACTCTTCTATGACCTGGCAAAAGAACAAGATTAAGCTGGGCAAGGAAAGGTTTGGTTTAGTTTAATGACTTTTCTCAGTAACATTAAACACCAGCAGGTAGTATTCCAAATTAAATTCTCATGCAACCGGTGGATTAGGTAATGGGGTAGGTGAAAGTTTGGCTATTGCTAGTACTAAGCTACTGCTCAGAGACCAGCATACTACCGATTTTGCTATAGGTATATGCTCACAACAGAAATATGACAAAGAAATGTCCTCTATCAAAGCTCTCAGGCAGGAGTAATTTCAAAGATTACATCTCCAGCTATTCATTACCGTCCTGACCAAGTGATTCTTTCCACAGTTCATACACTGTATTTGACCATCTGATCTTAGCTTACAAAGGCAGGTGCACTGAAAGCCACTTCCATCAGTGGCTTTAGCTAAGGTAGTTGACTTTGCACATAAGCACATGAAGGCTTCTTTGGCAATCTGAGTTCTAAAAGCCAAAACCTTCAATCAGGGGCAAAATTTTTTTTCAATTCTTCTTGCTAGTTTTGTTGATGTTTCTCTACAGACACCTCTGTAGTGAATTACCATCTTAAAAACTGCAAGGCAATGGACCAGCCCCCAAGATGATTTAATTTTACATGGAGGAAGGATCCAGTGTGCAGATCATTGCCGACTACACCAAAAATCATGGAGAAAGAGAAATAAGTACGAGATATAAGGTTTTCAGCATTTCTGGTTTCATTCAGTGCCTAATGTTGAGAAGCTTTAGGAAGCAATTTTCACACTTCAATGAAATATTACCAGCCCTGCTTTATTCAACCAACAAGGTAGATAATGATGATGTTGAGAAGCAACAGATTTTATTAAAACTATGAGCCTTGCAATCTCTCTGTGAGGTCAGGAAGTACTAGTTATCCCCTGACCCAGAGGTGTGGGTGTGACAGAGTGCCTGCTCCGAAATCACATACTCTTCATCTGAAAAAAGCTAGTTAGTCCTTCATGAACGTTAACACCTACTTTGGACTGGACTTCTTCCTCTCAAGAACTGCATCAAGTAATGTCTAGTGTGTATTTTAGCACTGTTTAGAAACAGGGTTTTATCTATTAGATTATGTCTCTTACAAATAATCCCTTATAATGGGCTAATAAGGGACTCAATAAACCGTAACAACATCTGAGATTTTAAAGGAAACACATAAAAGAGATTTTGCTTTCCTTGAGTTCAGACCTAAATTTCAACCAATATTAATCTACTTAAGTTCTCTTTTGGTTCTGTGTTAAAAGTGTCTACTTATGTTAAGGCTAAACACACAGGGGGGAAAAAAAAAAAAGTAGCCACACATCTGTGAATACAGCCAAACCTCTTCAGTTGCCTATTTGTGTAAACTAACAGTGAACATATTAATTATTACCTAGAAGGGAACATATTCAAATGCACTTTTTCCTAACACAGGAAGAAAAAAAAAGACACAATGAGAAATAAAGAAAATTGAAATAAGTAATGTTAGACTCTTCTTTCTGCCTTTCCTCAACAAGAGTTAAAAATCTCAAAATATTGATTTTTATATTTTCTGTTTATCTGTTTTGTCCACTGTATCTCTGCCAGTTGCCCCAGGCAATCAACAAAGCTACGCTTGTTCAGCCTTTGATCATCTCTGTGCTAGAAGATTAGCATATGCATACTCTCATCCTCCCCTTTATCCTGTTAATAAAGCTCCAAACTCCCTCTGCTGATGTTCAAGAAAGCAATCCGCTCCAGAGCCCCCGATGATTTGCCCCCATTCCCTCCTCTGCTCAGGACTCGGAATGCTAACTACTATGCACGAGTTGTGTAAGTGCTTATCCACCGGCCCTCTGAGGAGCAATTCTTACTTGTTTGATGCAGTCCACGTTTGACAGACGTTCCCGGATCAGATTGGCCCAAAGCGCATTGGGAATTTTCTAAAGAAAGAACAAAAAAAAAGGCTGAATATTCACAATTGAGTTCAAAAGGAATTTTACCATGCAGGCATATTCCGGTTAAAGGTGAAGTGAGATGTCTTCTTAAAAATAAATAAATAAATCTGCACAAGTCTCGGGTCATTAACATAGTATATCAGAGAGTTAATAAGGGCACAGAAATCAGTGTTAAAGGTAAGCTGAACACAAAGCCTACATCCATGCTTTCTGCACACTGACATGGAAGCAGTGCCAAGTTTTGCACAGTAACACACACACTGGACATCAGACCTGCAAAGGGATCCCTAAGAACATCACATCCCCAAGTAGTCCTTTTTACCACAAGTATCTGACCCACTACTGCTTCACGGGCCAGTGGACTCAGCGATAGTGACTTAACACCCGTCACGTGAGGCAATGAGAATCACAAATAAGAGAGTCTGATTTTCAGGTTTGTTTCATTGCTTCAAGTAACTCTTGCTCCTTCATCATCCAGAAAATTTAAAATAGATTTTATGGTTAATTTTAATGTTAAAGTTTATTTTTAAACTCAGGACTGTGAAACAGAATTGAAACTGCATATGCCATTATTTTCCGAAGTGCTATTTCCTTCTGTGACTATTGCTTTGCCTTTATCTAGAGATGTTCGGTAAGTCAGTATTTGCTATCTGACAGAAGAACAAAGTTCCTCCACAGACTTCACGTTCCCCGTTCCTAATAATTGTTCCATTATTATATTAGATTTCCTGACTAGAAATTAACAATACCCTTCTTTCCTTCTTGGAAGATTTTTCTTCACTATATTGTTAATTTAGGCCTACATTCTACACTGAACTTGGTTAAACAAACTCTGTGTTAGCCAGTTGAACGTGGTAAAGTCTAAACCATTGGCCATGCCAGTCAGAACAGCTGTTAATCATTTGATTAAATGCTTTGTCTCAGTCTCATCCATTGTGTTATTATTGGTAAAATGAATGCTCAGAAAAAAAATTCTGTAGTCAAGTTCTCTACTTTCCAAGTCAAAAAATTATCTTTCACTTAACAAGGTGGGCTTCACTCTCCATTCCATGCAGTTCCATATATTGTGGGTACCCATCTCTTTCTTTTAATCAAACGGTCTGAAGGGCATAATCCTAAATAAAGAGTATTTCTGTAGACTTACATTATACAGAAGGATGTAGATTGATATAATGAAAATGTAGTTGATTATGTGAAAAGATTTCCTAATAATGAGACAATTGTTTCTTCATTATATCGCGACATGATTTCACCAGAAGTGGTGGAAGTGCTACCACATGAGTCACTTTAGAGTGGAGAAGGCATTCCAGAATACACAAAAGAGACCAGTCTGGCTGTGGAACGGACAAGGTGGCCCAGTCAGGCAGTGGATTTTCTTGTTTTGTTTTTATCTACTGTCCCCAGTTCTCAGTGCCTTTCCTAATATCAGCCATTCATAAGGCAACATTCAAGCAGGTGAAAGAGAAAAAGGGAAAGAAATTGCTGTGTTTCTTGAAAGTCAGCAGGTCCCATAGGGTGGTGTGTCAAAGCCTCCTGCAGCCTCTTGCTGCTGGAGCCCAGGTCTGCAGCTTTGAGTCTGTCACCTTCCAAAGGTACCTCATGCTGCTATCAGAAGCAGCTAGTGTCTGTCTTTCTTCTTTGATGTGTCATGTCAAGACAGGCTAGCGACTGCCGGAGGTCCACTCTGCTGAGCTTTGCCAGACCAATTTAAACCGAAATTATACTAACTTCTTTCATTGCAGTGCTATTCTTAGTCCTCTCTTTGGAGCGGGGTTTATTGCACAAAACCAATCAAGGACATGTGGGTATTTCAGTGCCTCAGTTCCTTCTGCTCTCTGTGGCTCAGCTCCAGTCTCATTTCCTGGTCAGCTTTCCTCCTACTGAGCAGTGGCCTACAAAATTATTTTCAATAGGTTGCTTGATGAATGCCTAATTATTCAACTAGAAATCGTTAACTCTGATACGTGTCAGACAGCACATTTACCATTTCTCTCTCATAAACATTCACATCAATATATCACGGGACTGGAAGATGGGACTGCACCTCCCAGAAATCTGCAATAATGGCCAATGACCCACAGACATTTGATAACTGCAGAACTCTATCTTACCTAAGGCGCTCGGAGCCTGTCCCAGCATTCACTTTAGTTAATGGAAAGCCCTGCTGCTGTGGTATTTTGTTTATGTTCAGACCACTGTTCTATTCACACTGGTTTAATCACTATTTCCATCCTGCTGAAAAACTGTACTCATTCATGATTCATTTTAAATATTCCACGATATTTCAGGGACATCAGACTTCAGCTTACATGCCTGATCTACTCAGAGTTGTATTTTCACTGTTCTCTTCATAAAACTGCTACACTTTTTTTGAGGGGGGAGAGCACTTTCACCAGACATTTTTATTGGAGGTTTTGGATATATTTGTTCTGAAAACAACTACAGCTAAAAACTTGTGACTTCTCCAAGTCCATACCTTGGAGAGAAAAGCAGCCAAGTTTGAAGAAATTTGGTTTAGCATTCCAAGAATTATGAATGCTTAGATGTAGCTTGTTCATGTAAATACACATGAAAGGCTGGTCTTTTTTTTTTTATGTATACACAAGACTGGGACAGTTCCTATTTGTTCCTTCATAGAGGCTTGTCCTGGAATAGATTAGAACACTGAACATGCCTACATAAGGATGCCTTGGGCTTTCCTCTCCTTTATTATATTTCTTCTTAAAAAGCACAGGGATATGATGCAACTCTACAGCAGTTTTAAGTCATTAAGTAGTAGGCAAACACTTTAACTGCACTTTCATATAGCATTAAGAGCACACCCATCCCACAATTACCACAGCTGTTTCAACTTCTTATTTTATCCAGTTAACAGGAAAAGTGAAACATGCAATAGCTCATCATTAGACTTCACTATAGGAAAAACCTGAAGGTGCTTCCTATTAACATTATAATAACTAGAGATGAGGGAATAATTTGCAATGATTTATCCAAAAATGTAGCCTCTTTTTCTGTTCATGGAATATTTAGTGATAGCTCGTGGTTCTTCAAATTTATTGAATACTCAAAAATATTTTACTTCTTTTTGGAATATTTTTTACATGCAGCATGATCACATTTTGCTTTGAACAGTCAATATTTAAAACTCACTACCTGAGCTGTGCTCATTAGTAAGTGGCCAGGTGTGTGTTAGTGAATGATTGCATGTCCAGCTTTAAAAATTGAGCTTCAGAGAATAATCACATATTTTTAAATACTCCTTCCATGAATTCCTGTGCCAGGAAAACTCAAATGCTTTAACGTTCACTGGGAGCAAACACAAAAGAGATGAAAGCTTGGCTAAAGATAAGTAAAAATATGTGAACAAACATTTGCAGATCTTTCTGCAGCATTTGTCCAGATCTAGTAACATTGGCCTACTGACCTAAAAATGAATGACCTTTGGCACTGGGATTAATTTAGCCACAGTAACCTTATATGCATGAAATATTCCTCCAACAACATTAAATTGTGTTACATGATCTTCACAGCAGGATTTCAAAAAACTGTATTAGTTCCCATTTATCCTCTTCCCATGTATTAAATTGCTTTGGCCAAGCCTACAACTTCTTAGTGCTCTGTCTGTATCAAAGATAGTACACACAGGTATTGTTCTGGTCCTGAATAGACATTCAAACCCTCTTAGTGCTAATGGATGTTAGGTATGCTAGAGGAGTCAAGTTTACCACTTGCTTCAGCAGAACCAGGGGTCACTTACAGCAACAGTCGATTTAGCCAGCAGACATGAATCAGAAAGGGAAAACACAGCTCTTGGGATGACAACCTGGCTACATTTTAAGTCACTGTAAAGCTTGCATTGATCTAGAGGAAGCAACGAGTTCCCCTTCTAGTTTTAGGAGTTACATTTGAAGAATCAAACTCATATAAAAGAACAAAAGAAATGATTTAGTGAAAACGTTCTTCTAGGATCTAACGTCTCAAAAACAAAGGCAAACTGCACAGTACTAAACCACCACCAGATTCTGCTCTTCGGGCTCTCCTTACTACCTGATTAGCCTTGACATTTTTGACTTTCATCTTCTGCACCATCCATCTTTTTAAATCAAATAAGCCCAAAAGGACACCCTTGAAAGTGCGTCTGTATAGTCTGAAATATGTTAATAATTACAGTAATTAAACCAAAGGGAATTTTTGTTTTAAATTCTCCCCCTCCAAGTTGAAATTTATGAACCAAGCAAAACAATCTTTAATAATTAGAACAAAGATTTCAAAGTATATATTCTCAATAAGAATAATTTTATATCATCACAGCCACAACCAAACCTTTTTGCCAGGAAGTTCAGTGGGTTCAACAAACTCTCTCTCAGATCTTTAAGTATATTACTTGAGGCATCTCCAAATTGCATTCATTAATTCAGTGTAATAAAACATTACCCTATTTTCAGCCTAATTTTCTTTGGAAAAATAAATTAATCTATGTATCACACCATCTACCATCTCAGCAAATTATTAAGCGACCAATTTGAAACAAATTTAGCAGGGGTGTGGAATTCTCACAGAGATGAAATTGCTTAAATTTTTATGAAAACAGGTGGCAAGGGGGAAAAGATAAACTCAAACTAGTGGACTTGCTAGAGAGTGTCACAAAAAAACGGACTTCTTTCATTTATTACTCATGGAACACCTTGACACCTGGAGAAAGGAATCAGTTAAAAAGGCAGGAATTGGAAGCAGAGATGCTTTTGTGTATTGAGGATATTCTTTCAACATATTTTTCCAATCTACTTGTCACTAGACTTCAATAACAAGACAATTACATTGCTGGTTAACTAATCCTGTGAATCACAACTTTTGGAAAAAAAAGTCCTTTGGACCAACTCCTTTGAACTAAGAGGCCCACAGTGAAGCTCCACCTGTCTGGAGGAACCCGGGGACTCGGAGTTGGGTAGAGTGCATCAACCCAAGAACTGAACCATCTCCCGAGTGCATCAACCCAAGAACTGAACCATCTCCTGAGTTGGCTGCTCTTGCCCCAGCTTGAGAGATTCCAGGGTTTTCAGTAACCGACTGGACTGTCAGAATCCTTTTGAGTTAATGCACCGTTAGTTATTGGTAGCGTGCTACAGAGAAATCAAGCATGCACAACTAAGTAGCACTGTCAGACCAAAAAAAGTTCTTTGTGTAAATATTTTCCAGAGCATTTTGTACCGAAGGAGACCTCAGAGATTCATGCCTATTTTATTGAGATTATCAAACATGCTGAAATAGAAGATGCTTTGTTTAATGATACAATGAACCATTCTTTGAATTGAACGTCCCTGGACTTCTCTCAATTCTGTTGCTCGTGTCTAAGGTTAATGCTTTCAAGACCTCCATTACTTGACATTGTCTTTCTCTCCTGCCCCTATTCTACACCCTGACACATTTTTATCTTTGTTCATGTCTTCTTATCTAGCAGAGGATACCCTTCTTCTCTGAAAGATCCTGTACCTATATATACACACCCCAATGTACAAACCACCATAGAACATTTACTCCGATCTGCTCAACTCAGCAACAGAAATCATGGGAATGCCATATAATTCCTCTTCTGTGACATGAGAACTACTATTATTATATCCTCTTACATACCTGCTTCCTTTCTTTATATGCTTTTGCTTCCTTTGTCAGTGCTAATATTTCCTTGAATAACAAAGTCTCCTGAGAGATACGTATGGCATCCAAGCGTTTACAAAGCCACATTGCCTGAGGGAAGAAGGAAAAAAAAAAAAAATACAGGTCAGAATATTTGGAAAGAAAGTGAAGCATTTTTTCAGAAGGCTGCAGAAAGACAGAGCATTTTCCTATTCTTCCATTTAAGCACACAGAGTATATGTGTAACTTTAAGCAGCTTCTTTTAAAGATGTTCAAGTCTACAGGTTTGAATAAGGTCTTTTTCATCTACTGTACTGTAACACAGATTTTAGAGAAGAAAGCATTCTTCCTAGCACACACTACCACCATTATCTGCAGTTTCTGTGGTCAGCTTTCTCTGTGGTTCAAATACAACTTTGACGTTTTCAGTTAAGTGGTACCAGTGGACGTGACAGACAACTGGCTGTGCAGATGGAGCAATCCACAATACAGGAATACCACAAATGTGTAACTGTGGTACTCCGCCCAGGCTCATCAGTCCTTCTAAAAAGCTGGGGAAACAAGGCAGAATTCTGTTGCATTACCACTGCCGGAGTGAGTTCTCAGAGAGCTCACTTGAACATTTCCATTTAACCTGTAGTGTAATATAAAGGCGTATCCCTTAGGAATGCAATCCTTCAATTTGTCTTCTATCACTTCGGGAATTCTGAAAATTATTTTCTCAGAATAAAATTTTCACAAGTGCTGAGCTCAGGAGAAAGTAAAAAGGTAAGTGGGCAGTATTACAACAATGAAGGTAGTGTACTTACAACTGTAGTTTTCCCAGAAGCAGGTGGACCAAGTATACAAATTCGTGGAGCTGTGAAACAAGAATATGTGAACGTCAAGATGCAAAACAGCAAAGATCCCAACCAGTTTCCCACAACTGCACTGGCGTAATATAAATGTCATCACAACAAAACAATTCTTTCAGCAGGAAATCTGCCTGAATGAAGACTTCAGGATTGGGCTTCACTGGGAAAAAAAAAGGGGGAACACTAAGTCAGTGCCAGATAGGTCTTCTTTTAACCTCCATGGTCAATGAGATTAATACTCTGACTAACCATGCCACACTTAAAGACATTGATAGTTTAGTGGGTGAACCAGAGCATAAGATAAAAATGTTTCCTTATCTGAGTTCAACTTTTATTCCCAAAACATTGATTTAGACTTAAAACATTGTGTGATGAAAAAATATTTTAAGCTTGTACACGCAGGACAGGACTATTTAAGAGTGACTATTATCGTAATCCTAGAATGGTTGAGATTGGATGGGACTTGAGATTGTCTCTTCTCTCATTTCCCTTACACAGTATGGGAGTAAAAATACTTTTTACTTTGTCAAAGCTTTTGGCTCTCATCACAAAAGATGCAATTTCACTGTTTAGTTTCACCTAAATAGGTTGTATCAGGGTTCAGAGATTTAGATTTTGCAAAATTAAGCACTCACTCTCTACTCTTTTTGACAGCTACCTTCAATTTTTCCAGTAGTTGTTAAAAGTAATTTTTTTTTCATCTCTGTATCTTGTGTTTCTCTATTGCAGGTCTGTCTCTTTTCCCTGAGGGGGCGAGGTGCAAAAAATGCATGCCAGTTCTGAGGAATTCTTAATCTAATGCATACAGGCAACACAACAGGCATTACCATTGTAAGCTTCATTGGGAATGAATTAGAGGCAAGACAAACACGGGAAAAAGGAGTAACTCTGAGGAAAGTAGTTGGGACTTTTTCCATGAACACACTTCAGGCTGCAATCCCTTGAACTGTCATTTTGTATTAACATATTTGATTTTTTTTCTCCCTATAACCTGGGAAAGGAAAAAAAAAAACCAAAACAAAAAAAACCAACTCAAACCAACAAACCAAACTATATACAGAAGGGACTGATGTTACTGGGAGTAACATAGGCCAAAACAGAGGAGGGATCTACTCACCCAGAAACCTTTTCAGCTCTTGATAATCGAGGGAGATACAATGTCTGATGGCAGCAGACAGGGAAGGATGTGAAATGTATTTTTATGAGGCCTTCCATGCACTTAACAGTTACTGGGCAGGTACAATTTTTAAACATACATGAAACCCAAATTACAGATTCATCTCTACAAAGTTATCTGACTTGGAAGGTTTAAGAAAAACTCCCCCCTTATTGGTTCCTGCAAGTGCAACAGAACTAGTACACAATGTAGAAAAATACTTTAAAAGGATACATCAGCTGTTTTTATCACCTAATTTCTTTCAAATGTAATGTGATTAAATCCTAGGTTGTTTTTTTTTTTTTTAATCTAACACCTTGAAACTCCAGCCCGGTACTTAGGAATTATTTATAAACAGCGTCATAAAAGAGTGCTCGGGTGCCAACACTAATCAACTTCTTCAAACCACTTCAAAGAAAATCAAAAAACCTTTCCATCCACAGATCCTTTTGAGGTTTAACTAGGAGCATGATTTAAAATTCACAAGAAAACCCTTAGGTATTGAAGCTTTAATACACAGCTTTCTTGGACAAACGTTTGATAAAAAACGAAACATACCATTATATACACCATATCACGCTTTAATATTGCCCAGGGCTACTGTAAATGCTCACTTTGTACTAAATCTGGTTTTCTCTCTGCTTAGTGGCTGGCAGCAGATGGGGCAGTGTAATTCACTGATTTACTCATTTGCACACTTGTAAGACTCCTCTAAAGCATTCTCCCTAAACATATGACACAAGGGCACAACCGGGACACCACTCCATGTAATGTTTAACCCCTTCCAATCAGCAAATAGTATTTAATACTGGAGGTCTGAACCAGCAGCTAAATGAAGTCAGGGAAATCTAGAAAATGCCTTTTTCTTCAGTAACAAATCATATTTCATGCCATGTTTAGTCTTGATGAGATGTTACAGGATTTACTCTTCCAAGTAAAGTACGTTTTAACATTCCACAATGATTTTAGTAATAACAGAATGAATCCTGGAATAACGCACAAGAACAGCTGGACTCACTGAGTGCCATTTAAATCCATAAGATTCTATGATTAATATTAATGCAGCAAAATTTGCTGAACTTGTACGAGAAATCCTTTGTCAAACAGGAAAAGCACATAGTACATGATGAACATTCTTGCAGAACTTTTTTACATTTCTTCAGAGGTTTGACTGTAAAGGAAGAACTCACAGAAATGCCACTTGGATCCCGAAAGCTTTTTTCATTATCACAAACCAAGATACAATGCAGAGAACTAGCATCTTTGTATATGAAAGAATTACCAGTCTTCATACGGTTCTTTAAGATTTTTAGAAGGAACACATGAAAGAACAATAGTACAGAGCCTTAAGCACAAACACTTACCCACACATTTGACCTATGAGATTTTCAAGACAGTTGTAAGCTATAATCATCATTAGACTTGTTTATATTTTTAAGAATACTTTAGATCCTATTATTAATTAAAAAGGTTTTCTAACTTCACACCTGGGATAGATGCAATGCTTCTTTTCCACACATCTCTGTTTGAAATTTTCTCTAGGGCTAAAACTGTCTAGCAAGGCAAGATCATGAAAATTCATCACTCTACTGATGGCTCTAATAAGGGGTTTTTTTTCTTCTAAATAGTCAGCACCTTCCGCCATGATCAAAAAGTAAAATCAACTCTGCTACAGATTTCTGTTACATTATTTTCCATATAATTTATTCTTAAAACAACATTTAGCCTTTAATTTTAATTGGGAGTTCCTTTCCTTTCTTAATAGGTTTTTCCAGACCAAAAGCAGACAGTGTTTTTCCTTTGACAAACAACTACTGTAGTTCTATCTTTAGCCTCTAAGTACTGAAGTCATGAAATGGAAACCTGCCTAATTCTGTTCAAATAATACTGTGGAGCTTAAGAACAAATGTTACCTCAATGTGAAGAAATTTTATCAGCATTCTATCAAACCACATTAAATTCTTTCACATATTTTCTTTAAAATAGATTGGTTACTCATGCTGCCTGCCTCAGAAAAAGCTGGACACAATTTGCAGGAATTTTTTTTTTATATATATATTTAGCAGCATTTCAATCAACATCCAACCTGATCACCACCACGAAGAGCTCACAGCACCTCTAGTGATAATGATTTCATTGATGCTGCAGCAGAACTTTCATAATGGTTTACTATGGTTTTAAAGAATCATCAAAGCAACATGACACCAGCTATCCCTGACAGCTCATGCAGTACAAAAATTATAGTTCAGTTGTGCATATCCAAATATAATCTGCCTAAGGGTGAACAGTTTGTAAATCAAATAATTTGATTGAGTGTACATGCTTTTATTGTGCAGAATACAGGCTTCCTATTCAATTTACCAGGTTTTGTTATACATACAAGTAGGCGTGCTCACTGTTCCTTCATCTGAGATGCCACTGAGCAGTGGAACTCATTAACAGCAGCTAGTAACTAACTAATCAAAAACCAGAGAATCTGCCAGCCCAGGTAGAATAGGAAACCAAATTTACACCTGACAAAAGGAGTAATTAGCGAGCTTAAAGACAACAGGAAATATCAGATGGGGCACAGAACACATTAATAATTGATACACTAGAACTCTTTGTTATTCCCTTAGAGGGTTTCATTGTTATAACTGTTAAAGTGCATTTTTTATTAGATTACCCACTAAAAAAAGAAATTAAAAACATCTTACCTATAACAATTCCAAAATGCTCACCTTTTTTTTTTTTTTTTCCCCCCCCTCAAGACACAGCCTGAAAAGTTTTATCCATCATCTGCCAACTGAAGCACAGCTTTGAAACAGCTGTTTACAAATAAGGAATGGAACTATTTATGGTGTCTCAATTTTCACTTACCATCATCGTTGTTTTGCTTTAAATGGTCTATCATAAACTGAATGGGATCATCTGGCTCATGAATTAATAGTGCTTCAAGCATGTTCTGAAAATAAATAGGACAAAGTCAAGGGGAAATTTAACATCGCTATGCAGTCGTGATATATTGCATTTTTACAGCAAGATTGCAACGAGGATCTTAAAGAGTTTATGAATGCTTATTTCTTTTCTTAAGGCCCCTTTCATGGACAAAATTGAGACTATGAAATCTATTTTAGATGCTGAAAAACTGAAGTAAAGCATGGTCAGAAAATTGCCGATAAAAGAATAACCTATTGGCTTTGGCTTATTTACGATACAGACAGACACCAGAAAGGTTTGGCTTGAGCAGTCTGGGGTCGATAACGGTTGAGTCAGCATTGATAGAAAATCCATACAAGGACTTTCAAAACCAGAGTCAACTTAAATTAGCATCTCTGCAGGGCAAGTTAAAGCTCCTTCTCAAGCACATTCCCACAAGTTTCTGACTAGCCTAGAGGACTGCAGAACAGACAAGACCTGCAGAAAACACAAAAACAGTAACCAAGGTCATGAAGCAGCACATCTCATTTTTGTAACTGTATTAGTCTTCCTCCTACGTGAAAAGCAAGGCGGGGGGCAGGGGGGCAGGACACACACACACACACACACACACACACACACACACAAAGGCTTAAGGCATTTCTTTGAATGTCTATTTTGGAGCCCATTCTCAAATGTTTGAGGTTATACAGGGCCCTGCTTCAGCTCCCACCGATAGCAACGGGGATCTTCTATGAGGACTCTGACTTCACAGGCAGGGAAGGAAGTAACACTGAGAAGCACCAATTCCACAGATTTGCTTACAAGACATTTCAGCACAGACAAGAAGTCCGTAATTAAAACTAGTCATCAAACAGCAACTAATGTTCTGAGTTAGATTATCTACCGAAATGCTCGCACTGGAATAGAACATTTTTTCCTCAAAATCAGTCATAACACTTTAATATTTGCAAGTAAATTCCATAAAGTCTGTATATTCCATAAAATTTTATGTTCTAACCAATTGATTGTCTTTTATTGGAGTGGCCTATCTTCCTTTTCTACTTCATCCACTTCATTAACATAATTAAAACACTCAATTTTATTTATAAACTCTTCCACATGCAAGTTCTGATGCTTCAAGGTCTGGGTAACACAGAGCATAAAGCATAATATTTCTGGTTTTACTGGAAGTTCATTTAAAAATTACTACTTTACAGCAACATTTATTAAAACTAAGAAAACTGAATTTGGTACAATTATCAGCAGCTTTAAAAATAACAAACCAAAGAAAATCTGGTCTTACTACAATTCAAAATTTTTCAGACTGACAGCGATTGATACTTCTACTATTTTGTGCCCAATTCCTACCAGCACTTAACATGCATGCTTCATTTTATTCAGTTCTGCTAATCTCAGTTTAATTTTACACAAGCAGTTCTGTTAATCTCTGGGGGAGGTTCACATTTTGGGTCTCGTGCTTTAGGTTTCACATTTAGGGTTTTGTAAACATTTAATTTTCGGACAATAATTTCAAGCTGTGTTTGTTTGTACCATTATATTGCTAGAATACAATTGAGGCATGAAAAGAAAATCAGACTGAGTAAATCCCATAAGCATTTCATGTAATATGAGGTCCTGCAGCTGCATTCAATGTCTCATGGCATGCAAAGCACAGTATTTCCACTAAAAACTCACAAATATTACACCACACTGGTCATACTAAATGGCCTTGAGTTACATGGAAAAAAAAAAAATGAGGGGAAAAAAAGACTAGGAAAGAAAAATAAGCATCTGTGTGTTTTTCAGTGAGATCTGAAAAAGTAAAAAGACCTTATAGCATAGCCAGAGTTAGCGGAGGCACACAGGGGGAGTCTCTCTAGCAAGTTCTCGTATCAGAACAGCACCAGAATATTTAACCGCTCGCACAAACCTCCCCATGCTCGACAAAAAGGCTTTTTTTCCAGACTTACAGAACAAAACGTACCTTTCTCTAAGGCAGGGAAACCAATCTCGCTATTTACTGAAACCACAAGGATGTTAGAAGTGTTTGTTTGGGTTCTTTTTTTTTTCTTTCTTTTTGACACACATCTCCACAGAAAAGCCACGACGGCAGCAAGGAGAAACAATTTTAAGCAAGATGATGCTGATAAAGGGGCTGCAACGCGCGCGTTACCTCACCAGCTCGTGTCTCGGGAAGGGCAAAACCCTTCACCTCGGCTTTTCCCGCGCTTCACTTGTTCCTGCCTCCTCCTCCTCCTCCTCCCTGTCCTGCCAAACCTGCCTTTTCTTTCAGGGACTCAACACCTTTCTTGCAGAGGCTGCCACTTTCTTCCGCAAAAAATGACATGTATGAACTCCAGCAATTGCCAGTTTATTGTTAAAATAATTTAATTAGCTGACTGAGCCCTCGGCCGGTGCATCTGCCCTCACACGGAGGCCCCGCCCGCGCGCTGCCACAGGCGCCCGGTACCGACCGCT